AGTGTAGACTTAATGTTGTTTGTGTTGAGTGTTTTATTTCATGCTACAGCATGAAATAAAGATATGTCACTCATCAAGGTGATATATGGGCTGAGTAATGAAGAACATATGTTCTCTGCTGTTAAATTGAAATGGAAAATCGATTAGTCAAGTCACATAGAGTGGTAGCCGTGATCTTCCATTTGTATGAACATAGCTACAATCAATAAGAATGTTATTGCTCACTACCATATATTGGTTGATTCCGTATCTCACAACTGGGGACATTGCTGATGGAGAGAACAAACCATTCTTACTGAATGTGAAAACTTTGAAGGACATGAAAATTATTCAAAAACATATACACTTCTTAGATTTTCAGGCAGAATTGCAGGAAATCAGGGTAACTATTTTGTCAGAAATTTCTCCTTCTCCCGAGGTAACAGCGGTTGTCAATAAATTGGAATTTAACCATTGTATTTACCTTTTATCTGTATTCCGCATGGAGCTCATGCGTGCGCTAAATTCTACAGAACCGGGAGCAGTCCATTCAATATTTCAGTATCTCGAAGACAAGTAATTCTGCTGATATTTCACCATACGTTATAGTGCCTTCTGGCATAGTAGTCACTTGAATTGGTCTGCTTGAAATTGACTAGATTAATTAGTTAATTTAATGCATAACATTAGTTGTTAGTTTGGTCATTTTATCAGGCCATATTGACAAAGTTAAAATGAAATCTGGCATGAACAAGCATGGCGTGATACATGTTTTTTTTTGAGATCTATAAGAAAAGACAAGGATGGGATCTGGACATGTCTTCTTGCGGCAGCGAAAACCATCTTCAGTAAATATTTGAAAGTCGCTAGTGAACGGAATTTAGATTCGGCTCACGAAAGCCAGCTTGAATTACATGCTCAATTTCTGCTTATCATGTTCAATCATCATCTGAAGGAGGTAAGGGCAGAAATTTTCTTTTTCAGGAGGTTGCAATTTGATGAATGCTTATTCTATTCGGAGTATTGCAGGTGAGGAAATGCGCGGATACTTGCCTTACCAATTTAATTGGCAACTTTCCGCATTTGCTTTGGAATGGCAATGTAATTAATGTTGCACTACAACTTCTGGAAGCACTTTCAAACAATCTCGAAAATGACGCCGATTGCAAAATAATGACTTTGTCTTTTCCATCTCTGCAGCGAACTATACAGCTTCAGGTGTTTTGTCAGTAACGTATATTATTCCTTATTCCAGAAAACCAAAATTTTTACGTACATTCTTGCAACAAATTTGTACTGCTTCATGTTTTTTTGTTTTTCAAGTTTCTATTGTGTTTTCTATATGAAACCTAAATGTAACTTAAGGATACTCTGGAAAGAAGAAAATTAGTGGTACAAGACTTCTCTTTGCGCTGTGAACAAATTCTTCAGGAGGCAATCAAATGGGCACCAGGTAGTACTCGAAGCTATTTCGTTGTAAGTTTGCAGTGATATTTTGTATGTTTTTGTATTTACTACCGATCTGGATGTCTTATTTATTGGTAATTAAATCCCAGGGCCACAAAGTTGTTTGCTGAAAAATATCACGTTTACCTAGGAACCACATCAGAAAATTGTGCCGTTTAATTATGAAACATTGTTGACTTTTGCAAATTTATTTTGAGGACCAGAAATGATTGTTCTCTTTTAAGAAATATATTACGAGCATTAATCCTGGCTGTTCTGGCAATTTTCGTTTGACAGTAGAAGCTATAATGAAAAGTCTAAACGATGCATCTGGCTGTACAAATGATACCAGCTCATCACTTTACCTTTCTGCTCTACATTTAAGATCTTTGTATCTTGGCAAGGTGAAATTTTACACTTCTAGGTTTTTATTGTTTTCAGTTCAGTATATCGTTCTTTTTGAGGAAATTTTTGTTTGTCAGTTTAGGTGAAAGGCATGATAGAAACGTCCAAAACTGAAGAGGAAATCAAACCTCAAGAACAGCTTGCTGATTTATTTGAGCAACAACTGGAAAGAGCTTGTGCAAATGGATGTGACAAAGAGATATCCGAGTCCATATTGAGATTAGCAGCTCTTTTCATTTTAATGAAAGAAGTGTCTAATCAAAGTAATCATTTCACTTATAGTAATAAACGAATCTACACAATAAGATATTATTTCTAGTAACCTTTTTGTTTCTAGCAAGCTCATGCTTTTTTATTCACTTACTAGTTGATGAATTTATTTTTCGATACTTCATTCTTCATCTTTTGCTCTTAGGAATATAAAGATGCTCATATATAGAAACTGTTTTTTTCACTAGATGTTTCTTCTTCCAGTACAAAATCAAATGGGTTTTTTTTTTCATATTTAGCTTAACTGCTAAAACAAGTTTTTATGCTCTTCCTCATGCTTTTTATTCAGTGTACGTAATATTCGTAAATACTAGGACAACTTGTTTTGTTCTTGTACTTTCAAAAAAAAAAAATTTAGCAGAACTGGATAGCCGCTTGTTACATATCCTTGTTTTTGTGCCACTCAAGAGCTTTACTGCTCCAACAATGCGTCTCTGCATAATTGTATGGAACTGGATTCTTGTTGCTCGAGAAAATATCCAACTTCAAGTAAGACGATCTTATTTCAAACGTGAAAAACTTTGTTGTATTGTTCTTAAACAAAGTGTTAACGAAACTTGAATTCAGTTCCTTCGAGAAATGGCGGCATGTTGGACAATTGCCGCACAAGATCATCTAGGTGTCTTCCAACGTGACCCCGAAGTTGTTTCTCCTTTGAGCTTACATTACTGCTCAGGCCCGAAGAGACCGGATATTGTTCCGCACAGTATATGGATTTACGTATGCTGTTTTCTGAAATATATGTATATATTTAATTAATAGCTTCCTGTGAGAAGTTGAAGGTCTTGTGAAATTAATAATCAAAGATTTACGATAAATGAAGTCGGGTAAAGATGTATATGAATATATTGGTTCCCTGCATTTCAAAGCGCTATCTTGCAAAAAAGGAATTTTGGAACTTTTAGTTTTTGGTAGAAAGAGTGGATATTGCCAAATATTCAAGCAGAGAACAGTTAGACATTTTGGAACTGATGTTTGTTCAAACACTTCCACTGAACGTGGGTCGCCTAAAAGTAGATGTTAATTCACCATTATGTATTTCTTCCGATTCGAGTCTTTATAAAGTCGATTTAGCGCATGGTTACTCCTTTTACTTTTTCTAATTTCTTAAAGTTATTTAAAATATGTAACTTTATAGATAAGGAAAATTAGGAACCTATGATATCAACTTTATGATCGAAACGTTATTATATCTTTGTGTTCTAGAAGAATTATACTCTGTTCCAGTTTGGATGTACCGTGTTTCAGTTTGGATTTTTTCCAGACCCTTTCTAAGCTGTTCGAATTTTTCTGTTTTCCAGTTACAATGACGAGAAATGTAGAGGCGATTGGACTACGATGTCATTTTCTTAACTGCGTTCTTTCCATGATACAGCATGATTCGATATCATTTCACATATCTAAAAATATTTTGCGACAACGTGTATATTGTGCAGTGTTGGATTACTTTGCGTATGTTGTTCTGTTTTACAACCATCTGAATTACCAATCTTAGAATTTTCTTAACAATAGCTTTTCTGTTTGTAGTGTTGCTGCTCAAACTCCGACACAGAATGCAGCACAGTTGAAAAATGATATACGTTTGCTGATTACATTTTGGAATACCCTTTTCTCAGATGTGAAATATATCAAGAAAGAAATATTTGCCAGCATTGGTAAGCGCCTTAAGTTGGATTTTCCTGTTTTGTCATTAATCACACCTGATGGGTATTTCAGACGCCGAACTCAACTTGGAATCTCTTCAGCAAATTTTTAATGATAACTACAAATCCGACTCGAAATACAAGTAAGTCTGGTGTGCTTTTGTGCTTAAAATTTTTATCTTCTAGTAATTCGGTACTTTTTTGCAAACCTACAAATATGGAACTATAATGTTATATTTAGTCGCGCTGATATGCAAACTCGTCATGCAATGACAACCAGCGCTTGTAATTGGGTAACACTTGTTGCTGCACAAGGTAGAGCTGGTTTACTGCAGAAGAATACACTCAATATCGGTTAGACTTTTTTTTTGAAAATTCGTATTTTGGTTAATCTGTGAAGTAATTAACATTTGTATTTAATAAGAAAGCATGAGTCCGGAGTTTTTTTTAAAATAATTTCTGAGTCATAAAGATTTGTATACGAACATAATGATTTTGATTAAGGAGAACGATGTCAATAGTATCTGTTAGAAAACTTCAATGACAACATTTTTTTTCCAAACAGTTCACAAATTTAAGCAAGTTTTTGCGGTTGCGTTGGCATTGTCATCATGTTAAGACTTGAGTAGAAGCTGAATGAACTGTGCTCTTTTTTAAACTGATTTTTTTTATTCCCAAAAGCTGTTAAAAAAATTAAGTATTTGATAGTGGAAAAATTTTTCAACAACAAGAACATCAAAATACCGAAAATGAATTTTTCCGAAAGGGAGGTACATGGAGTTTTTCCTGGAATTTTGAATGTCTAAGTCAAATATTCGTCTCAGTGCAACTTTAAAATCCTATATTTAGTCCGGAAATACCAGATGTGATTTTCCTCATCTTTATTCTAAAGTTATAATTTGGTGGGACTAGTGATAAAACTTGTACATTATTTTTTGAATTACCCCTTGTTTTCCAGATCCCAATCGATCCAATCCAAACAAACATGCAGAACAGCAGATGAAACTGTACAATCGCTATCGAAATTTAATCTTGATATTTGTCGTAAGCGTTTCAATCAGAAATTTTCGAATACTTTACCATACCTGTCTGTTTTATTTCCGTTAGGTCTTCAAGTAGATTTTCAGATAAATTAAATACTTCCAAGCAGTTTTTCAGGCGAATGAAATTGAACGCTTAAGTGCATGGTTAAATCCGTTGGGTGAAGCTCTGGGTTTGGAGGATGCAAGCATTGAACAGTGGCGAAAATCAACATTCCCTGATGCGAGAACAGAGGCTAAACTTCTCCGGGAAAATGTCAGAATTGCTTGGCAAATTTGCCCCGATTTGGCGGTGCATATGCCATCAAGGCAAGTAATGTAACGAAATGATATTGTTTTTCTAAAACTGTGTTTCGAATTATTTTTATCTAAAGAATGCGGTACAATCTCTTTAACTGTTCTCTAGATTTCGTTCTTGCTGTGCTTGTCAGATGGCTGTCCAAGAGCTGCTTGTGAACTCGCCGGAATTAGTGACCGATGTGCCCGAAGCTCTTACTTTGATGCTGGGAGAAGGAAAGATTCTTGAAGAAAAAGTGGAGGTAAATTTGTATTTTAGAGAAATTCACCGATGAAGAAATCAGGATAATTCACATATTTTTTTGTTGAAAAAAGGTCTGACGTATTCGCTAGTAGTAGCTAGTGAAATAAAAATTTCCAACTATAAAGGCATGAGTGACAATTAATTGTGTGAACAGGATTCAGGTAAGCAAAGCTGATAAATAGTTGTATGGTATTTTTTATAGTTATAACCGTCGTTGCAGTATGCTTTCATTTTCATTACATATGTCCCAACTAGTTTTAATGCTATATATATATATATATATATATATATATATATATA